ATATACACATATATATATATATATATAATACATACATATATATATACATATACATATACATATCATATACATATACATAACTATACATATATACATAATACATAACATACATAACTATACATAACATATACATATACATATACATATAACATGTATATACAATATACATATCACTATATACATATATATACATATAATACATATACATATACATTATACACATATAACATATACATATACATATAGATAATACATAATACATATACATATAACATATATATACATTCGGTCTACCAGTGAGCTAGCTGGCACAATAATGTTCATTTTCATACTTCAAATCCGAGTGTTTTCTAGCTCATCAAGAAATCTTAATCGTGAATTAAATCGTGAATTAATTTTCAACGGCATTATTTTGTGGGAAAGCGACGCATGCGCAAATGGACTGCCGTACCGGGCCGTAGCCTCGAGACATTAAGATACGGTTGCCGTACCTCCAGCCACTGGCACTGAGTTAAAAAAAAGGAAAAAGAAAAATATAGTCAAACATATAGCATACATTATCATCGTCACTAGGCCTATAGACTAGTGAGTAGTGTGTCATTGTGTGACTGTCACAGTCTGAGTCTGAGCCCCTAGCCGCTAATCGCTATAGCCTATACTAGCGGCGGCAAAAAAACGTTTGCGTGCACGTAATACTAAACGCGATTTAATATGACATTATACTCGTTTGGGACTAATTAAGTATACTGCGTACCAGACTGATATACCAACCGATAAAATATATAAAACACAGCTTCTGAACAGAAACAACGAATACTAATACAATTGTACGGGCATGCCCAAGGCAGCCATTTGTGTACCTTGACAACGAGGATAAACGGCGACTGATAAACGGATAACTGGATAAACGGAGGATAAACGGTTTTATTCGTCATGCTACCCCTCTAACTTCATTCATTATAGTGTAAAAGGATTTTGTGTACAACTTATAAAAATTATTTTACCTATTAATTTACATGGTTAATACTAATTATGTGTTATGTTTAATATATACCTACTAGTGAAACTATTTTAGAGGCACCGGAAGTATGCGTCATTTTGAGGTGCCGTGTTCATTTCCGGCGAAGTGTTGTTGTTTTTGTCATTTCCTTGGTTCATAAGTTGAATTGGTTACATCTCATTGCATCTTTTCTCATAGAAGGTAATTAAGTGCGAAAATTAGTTGGCTACTTGACTTTGTATTATATTTATACCTCTGTGTCTGTTTTGTAATTATTTCAAGCTACATTCGTAATATTTGTAGAATATCTAATGCCGGATTCATAGCCGGATTACGATTAGTAGGCCCTATTACTAATACTAGTAATAGGAGTAAGGAGTACCAGTAATAGTAATACCAGGAGTAGTGGCAAAGGAGTAAGAGACTACGACCACAGGCACTTGAAGCGTTTCAATAAAATATAATGGGATTAATGCTAAATAAATACGAAATCTATTTACTACCAAATTCTTAATGTTTCTATACGGTTTACCCCTTCACCCCTCTCTTTCACCTATTATTGCCGACAGTTTCCTGTAAATTCCGTCCAAATCTTATGTAAAACATATGCTGCCGGCTGCCATTGCTCTCGCGACTGCACTGTGGACACTTACACTTGTATGAATCTAATTATATATGCAGAAACCAAAGAACGGGAGTAAATACAAAAAGTAATTGTCGTAAACAGTTGTACTGTGCAGTTGAGACACACGTTAATGAGAGGCCTATATATATAGCAGGTAGGAAAGCGGAATCCCTAAATTCGCTTGACGCTCGCTTGATTTCACGCCTTCACAGCACGAATACACATCCAACAGCTTTCATCTTTGTTTCCATTTCAAGAACAGTGTTCACTTGTTATAAAAACATACTGTCTCTGTTCGTAACCGAGCTGTGTCACGCAAAATCACACAGACTGACGAAATTCTCGCTTTGGCAAACCTTG